TCGGTGACTTGGGTGACCATTAGCTAACGGGAAGCCCCCTCTGGTGACTTCAGCGACCATTAACTAACTAACAGGCATCCCCCTCTGGTGACTTGGGCGACTGTTAGCTAATGGGCAGCCCCATGTAATCTCAAGACTTAGCCATCCTACCCTTCTAAAGTCTGAGTGCAGCAGCTCTGTCCAAAGCAGAGCCTGAGTAGCTTTGGAGCTACAAGATGTGTTAGTCACTCTGATTTCAGTACCACAAACTATCTAAGAAAAGGGAACAGGGACTAGTTTGCTGGGCCAGGAGATGCTAAGTCATCAAAATCTTAACATCTGTAAGAGAACTAATCATTAAATAGATGTGCTTGGTCTGGAAACTCCTTCTTCTAGGTGAAGGGTGCAATTAAGGAGCCACCGAAACCTGACTGGAAGGCCTCGGTTCCTCTCCTTCTTCCTTCAGCCAGCATGTACCAAGTATCCCTCCGTCCTGGGACACTGGACCTGTACGCTAGAGAACACAAAGGAACACAGTAGATTCTGCCTGACTCTGGGGAACAACACTGCCTAGGAGAAAGAAGAAAAGGAGGCAGTGCCCAGGGTTCTGGCTCGGCCAATGAATGACTAAACAAAGGGGAGCCCTCTTTGCTGTGGGATGTTAATGTATGTCCTGTGGGAGCCCTTCTTGGGTTCCTTGTGGCGTTGCCCAGCAGGTTTGCATAGAGGATGATTAGGACCATGGGCCTGAGTGCAGGTATCTGAGATGGTCTGCACTTGGCTGTACTGGGGGATGGTCTGTATGTCAAGTTGCTCTGATTGGTCAATAAATAAAACCTGATTGGTTGTGGCTAGGCAGGAAGTATAGGCGGGACTAACAGAGAGGAGAAATAAAAGAACAGGAAGGCAGAAGGAGACGCTGCCAGCCACTGCCAGGACAAGCAGCATGTGAAGATGCTGGTAAGCCACGAGCCACGTGGCAAGGTATAGATTTGTAGAAATGCGTTACTTTAAGATATAAGAACAGTTAACAAGAAGCCTGCCACGGCCATACAGTTTGTAAGCAATATAAGTCTCTGTGTTTACTTGGTTGGGTCTGAGCGGCTGTGGGACTGGCGGGTGACAGAGATTTGTCCTGACTGTGGGCAAGGCAGGAAAACTCTAGCAACACCTCTTACTTTCCAGTGGCACAAGGGGTTTACACCATCTGAGCCATCCTGTGACAATCCAAAAACAAACTGTGATGCCAGGGAAAATACAGTGAGGCTTGCAGAAAATCATATTGTGATAATATGATATAATAATGTTTTATTAGTGAGATAGAAAACAAAAAAATACAACATGCAGCATAGTGAAGATGTCTCCAAGTTAACTAAGTCCAAATATGACTCTGAGATTGTTTTATAGATGTTTCTCAAATTGAGCTCCATGGCCACACAAGGGCAGAAAATGAGAGTTTGAAAAAAGTTTCCATTGTCAGTACCATCATTACCAGAAGCCACCATGGAAAAGTGCCAGCCACAGGGCTCGGCCTCCTGTGGAGCAATCTCTGAAAAGAGAGGTCCTATTACCCCACTCTACAAATGGTAACACTGAGGCAGAAGACTATACACAAATTGTCTGATTCACATAGCTGGTTAGCAACAGAAACAGAATTCAAACTCAGAGCCCTCATACTTAACTCTAACACACACTGCCTTCCATACCCTCTACATTTTTGAAGTTCATAGTGAATCAGGAAATAAAACATGCCTTTCCTGTAAAAAAAAAAAAATTGTTTTTTGGAGATTTATAGGGCTTTGGGTAAGGGAGTAATGAAAATGCACCCATTTTCTCTTCCCAAACTTTCCCTCTTTCTACACATAGGCTATACTTCAAATCTCAATTTCCTTTATGACTCAAATATAACAAATACCAACTAAAACCACCTGCTTAGGGGACTACCAAAACCCAAAGAATGGCCTACATAGAATCCACAGTACACCAGTCCAGATGTCCAGAGTCAGCTTTTACACAGTCAATTGAAGGAAATATCTAGATGGAAATGACGAAGATGTGCCAACTATTAAATAATATACATTATACATTGCAGTTACACGAGGTACCAGATCACTTGAAATTTACAACATCCTAACAAGTGAAGTGAAAAGATTGAAATATTAGACTTTTGATGCACACTTATTAGCTTTATTATACTTCCTAAGAAAAAAATTAAATAGAACCATTAGGCAGTTTTGTTACCAATGAGTGGATTTTCCAATATTTTCTTCATCTAGTTTATGTAGCATAGCCTTTAATGTAATCATTTTATTTCTGAAAAAAAAAACACCCCACAATTTTTATAGTAAACACTATTAAGGTAAACTTGGTGTAAGAGAAACCCAATCACAACACATCAAACAGTGTTCCTTAAATGCTTCAGTCAACTGAACTCCATTCTTATGTCTGGAGCATTGTTCCGTGAGGAACTGAAAGCCAGGGCCACAGGACACTGCACACTGCAGCCCAGAAATGAAGGGCAGTCATCGACCACAGTGACTTTGTGGTCTGGTGTCTTCACAGTCCTTCTCCTTAAGAACTAGATATGACCCAACTGTGGTGACACACACCTGTACTCGGGAAGCTGAGACAAGAGGATTGCTTGAACCAAGGAATTCAAAACCAGGCTGGGCAATGTGGCAAGATCCAGTTTCAAAACAAAATATACAAGTAAAAGAATTGCACAGGCAATAGGAGACATGGGAGGTTTTTCTTTCTTTCTTTTTTTTTTTTTTTATGAGAAATGTACTAATTAAATAAAGTACTCCATCACCATGACACTGCCGTTCACCTTCCCTCAGCAACTGCTGTCCAAACAGTAACCCTGTGAGGCTCACATGAGTGTGGATGATGGCAGCTAGGTGAACCCTTGGGAGAAGCTGATAACGACATCAGCATTCCAACAACTAAAAGAACCTGTGACACAGACACTGTGAAATGTTCAAGGGACATTTCAGTCCCAATGAAAGGATTTCTAGCCCAGCTTTGTGGTTAAAGACAAGTGTAAGGGAGTAAACAAGAATATTTAGTGGGGGAATTCTCCAAGAGAGTTCTGTAGTTAGAGGGGACTGATGGCCGCTTCTGAGTGGGGATGAACTAACCCCACTAAACCACACATTAACAATGCTTACAAAGCAAGGTGTGCTGGAGCATGCTCTTAATCCTAGTACGCAGAAGGTGGAGGCAGGTGGATCTCTGTGAGTTCCAGGCCATCCTGATCTACGTAATAAGTTCCAAGCCAGCCAGAGCTACACAGTGAGACCATGTCTGAAGAAAAAAAAAATTGTATAAAATAGTAATGATGATGATAAATTTTATATTTCAACATGATTAAAAATGTTTTGAAACAACAGCAGCATAATTTCAGCTTGTAATCCTCCCTTGGGGAAATGGACAAGTTATTTCTACTTTCCTGTACACTCCTCCTTTTTTTATATTTGTATTACAATTTTACAGATGATTAAAATTTTAACATCTGTATTGGAGGTGCAGCTCAGGAGCTCTGGGCCCTGGGTTCAATTCTAGCATCATCGTGGTAGAACTTAATTTCAGACCAACAATTCACATTATTAAATTTTCTGAGGGAAAAATAATCTAGAAGATGAATGTACATTCTCTTAGTTTGTTTTTTGTTTTTTAATTTTTTTTTTTTGAGACATGGTCACACACTGTGGTTTATACTGGCCATCAGCTCACCATTAGCCCATGCTGACCTCAAACTCTTAACAATCCTCCTGCCCCAGCATCCCAAGGACTGTGATTACTAAAGGTTTTTGTTGTTGTTGTTGTCTGGTGGACAAGACCTCATAATGCATTTCTGGCTAGCCTGAAATTCACAGAGATCCACTTGCCTCTGCCTCCTGAGTATTGCAATTGAAGGCACATGATGCCAAGCCTGTCTTAAGTTCTTAAAGAACTACGTTTTGGGAGAAGACTCACATCCTAGCTGTACCTCAGGGGTCAGAAGGCCCAGGAAAGGACTCACATCCGGCTGTACTCGAGGACCCGAATCCTGGGTGGACGACTAGATCAGATGACTTGAAGGATCTCTTAACTCCTGGTTCAATTCTATGCCAAGGCAGCATCAATACACAAGGACGTGCAAGGTTCACGGGGAACCAATCAGAATACAAATTAATTCTTTTATAATCCCAATTATTTTTAATATTACAATATCTATGGTAAAAACAGAAGCACAATGCGGCATGGGGCTGGTGTGTGTGCAAGAAAGCTCTGTTACCCTGAAGGCTTTCTTATGGAGGATGAATTTGTTAATTCCTAGTGGAATATTTTTCATACACCACTGCAGACTATTAAGTGCCACATATTACATTATGTAGTTTAAACTTTGCACTGCTGTGAGAGGGACTTCCCTGTCGAGAGAACTGGTTTTTTTTTTTTTATGCTTAGCATTTTTTAATATGAAAATGAACACTCCTTTAGGGTAAGATCACTACAACTGGAATTTGGGAGAGTCTTCTAACTTAACATATTCATCAATGTGTGTAGAAAAGCTCTCAGGGGAACAGGGTGAGGAGAGAGGGAAACACGAGAGGAAGAAGGTTTTTTTAATAACAGTGTCAACACAGGGCAGAGCAATGGTATTTATAAGGTTTGGTTTCCACTGGGCATAACTGTAAACAGGGAAGGGACCAGCACAAGGTGAGAACAAGTTTCAAAAATAATAATAATAAGTAATGGTGTTAAAGAGCAAAGAAAAACATGTGCTAAACTTCAGGCCTGTAAAAAGGCACGCTTGCTAATGGTGAACTAGCAACCACTTACCCCAGGGAGATGCAGACTCGGAAATATTAAAAAGGCAATATAAATGCATTTTCAGGCAATTCCCGAGAAAATAGAAGTTGCCTTGCAGATTCTGGTGTCAAACACGGAAATAAAATCCAAGCAGTGGTGGACACGAGGTACTTGGCTCTCAGCACTTGGCCAAGTGGACAGAAAGTTTACACAGAATGACTACTCACTTGTAGACTGTGCCTCCGTTGCCATGACCAAGGGTGTCTCGATACCGTATGTCGTGTTCATTCATCTCCACAGGAAAGAAAGAAAACAGAAAGGGTGTCATGCTGCGGATGGAAATGTCAAGGGAAGCAACGCTGGGCCATAAACAACAAGCAGGCTGGGTCATTCCAAGTTCAGCCGCAAGAACGAGAGGATCAATACGACATTTGCTGTCCAATTTATAAAAGACGATACCAAGGGACAAAGTGATGGAAAGTTTAATGACAATTTGTTTGCCTGGGTCATTTCATTAAAGTTTGATAAAAGGTGTCAAAATGGAATGATATAACATAGCTCAGAAGGGTCAGGTCAGAGACACTGATAGGAAAGTGGTCTCCAGCATGGCACAGAACTAATGCCAAGCAGGGACACACAGGACCAAAGCCAAGCTTGGTATGATCTCACACACCAACAAGCACTCGTGTACGCACGCGCAAGCGCACACACACACACACACACACACACACACACACACACAGCAATTTATGCATGCTGTGTAAATAAATCAGCCCCTGAAAACTCCTTGGGTGACCCTATAATTAACACTGAGCAAACTGAATAATGTTTATCATTTTCCTCAAGTGGAAAGAGGTTTGCTTTGCAAATGAGAAGTTAGTACACAGCAATAGCTGGATAGAAATCATATTATGCTCATTGGCAAATGCCAAATCGCATACCAACATCTCAATGTCTACAGGGAACACACAGCACGTGTGTGATATCAACTAATGTCATTCCTATAACTTAATATACAAGACAGCATGCATGTTTTCTAAGGTTCTATGAAACTTACACCAAAAACACCACTCTTGTTTGTAATCATGAATGGCAGGTAAATTATGTTGGCACCCACAAAGTAATGCTTTCAAGTCTTTAAGGGACTCTCTAAATAATCATTTATCAAATGGCTTTAAGGCTAGTCAGACTCCATTTGATATACTCAGTAATTCTTTAGGCACTGGTACGGTTGCATAAAAATTAACTGCCAACTTTATTCACAAAGTAGATTTAATAAAGGTATTGTTTTCCATATAGCTAAAGCTTGGGAAAGTAAGCCCTGAAAAAAAAAATCAATTTCCAGGGAATTGCACTGCCTTGCATTGGGCAGAAAATGGATGGAGTGCTTAATTCAATATCACTTGGAAAATAATAGTTTGCTTTTGGACCATTATTATAGTAAAGCTTTAAATATTTGCTCTGCTCTGAACTCCCACCTACTGAATAAAGCAGGGCTGCATTTATCAAGGGAAATAGTTTTCTCCTATACATTTCTGCGGCTGAAGCTTCCGAGAGAAGACTGTGATAATTAAGTGTGTGGGACAAGCAAAAGCGACAGCCTCCTCGCCAAGCCCTTTTGCCAATTCCTAAAGAGTATCGACAGACTCATGTGTGAGGGTCAATTCAGCACCAGATTTAATTGTTGTACAACCTGATTGATGCAATTTACAATCAGCTAATTGCTATATTTAAGGTCAGTGGAAAAACACTGGCAGACAAGTCAGAAAAATTGCCAACTGCTTCCCCATTCCAGGAAAATTCTGTTCTTCATGACCTTTAAACTACTAATGTAATAAAATGATATTTTACCCTGTAGAAAAGATGTGGCATGAAGGCAAGAAAGCCACATTACTCTGGACTTAAATGACATCTTTTCCAACAGCACTGAGAACAGCAGCCCAGGAAGTGACCTGAGCTGTTAAGCGAGGAGGACGGCCACTTGCTCCGCTGTGATTGATGAAGGGTTCATAAGCAGTGGTGTCTGCTGGCAGGTATGAACAGCTACCCAGCCAGTTCCCTGGGAGCATGTCTCTAGGTAATCTAAACATGTCTCCAACAACCTAATTTGCACCATTAACTTGCCTAATGAGAAACATTCTCACTGTGGCTCGAAGTAAATTTCTAGGAGAGAGAAATGTCACTTAGTCAAGTGCACAAACTCTGAATTGGTGGCACTAAGGTCGAAGGGCAGTTGGGATGTAGCACAGAGAGTCTGGGTTCTGGGAGGGCTAACATTTGTGAGCAAGTCCTTCCCACCGGCAAAGGGCAACATATGGGTATCTCTGACCATCTACACTCACGATCCCAAGAGTACTCCCAAAAGAGGATTGGCCAGTATTCCCACGTGTCAACTTCATCAAGAACGATAGGTTTGCAACATCGGGGGAGGGACTTCGAGACTCAAGAGGAAGGCTGGTGAGACGTCGAGGGGAAGCAAAACCTGTTGTTGCATGTGTTCCTGATTAAGATGAAATTATGGAATCCCCCAGATACTGAGGAAGATTATGCAAGAGCATAAACATAGAAGAGGTTCTGAATTGTAGTTTCTAAAAGCGTATTACTTTAAAGGACTACATCCATAATAAATGATCAAAGAGGCTCTATGCTATTTCAAGGTTTGCAAGGCCTTTTCCCAGCCAATGAGCCGATAGGATTTTTGTAATATTAAGAAATATCAATAGCCAGAGAGATGGTTCAGTGGTCAAGAACATTTGCTGCTCTTGCAGAGGACATGGATTCTATTCCCAGCACCCACACTGGGAGGTCCACAACCGCTTGTAACTCCAATTCCAGAAGAATCTGATGCGCTCTTCTAGCCACTGTGGGTACTGCATACAAACAGTGTACATACAGACAAGCAGGCATACACACATAAAAAATAAACAAATAAATAAAACTGACAGGCAGGGCGGCACGCTCTTTTAATCCTAACACTAGTTAGGCAGAGGCAAGAGGGTCACTGTGAGTTTGAGGCCAGCCTGGTCTACACAGTGAGTTAGAGGCTATCCAGAGCTATACAGTGAGACCCGATCTCAATAAATAAATAATTTAATAATATGTACATATCTCTATCAGATTCCTTTTCTGTTTGCTTATGAGTTTTCTATGTTTTTATAGCATATGAATATTTCTCATGTTTTTTTGTTGTTGTTGTTGGTGGTGGTGGTGGTTTTTTGGGTTTTTTTGTTTTTTGTTTGTTTTGGGTTTTTTTTTTCAGACAGGGTTTCTCTGTGTGGCTTTGGTGCCTGTCCTGGATCTCGCTCTGTAGCCCAGGCTGGCCTTGACCTTACAGAGATCCACCTGGCTCTGCCTCCTGAGTGCTGGGATTAAAGGTGTGTACCACCACCGCCTGGCTATTTCTCATGTTTTTAAAAGTATGGGCTCCATTTGCTTCTTTTATGAGACAGGGTCTTGAAGTCCTATGGTCAAGTAATTTTTTCTTTCCTGGTCTCAGTCTCCTGAGTTGGGGACTACAGGTACATGGCTATTGCATCGTATCATATCACATCATATCTTTTCATATCATCTTGTAAAAACAAAAGCTTATTAAAGCAGAGCTCATGAACTGAATTTCAAATATACTGAGGATTCCACATGATATAAAACTATAAAAAACTGCTAATAGCATTTTTGCCATTTATAATTAGATAAGCACATTAAATCAACCTTTCAAAATGAAGCATAGGAATCATGTTTACTAAGAAATGGAGGTAGAATTTATAAACCTATGGAGCAATTCATGTGACTACTATAGTGAGGTCATACAAACAACGGTTTTGTAGCATGTTAAGACCATTTAACCGAAGTCATGAGGTTATATAACTTGTTGATAAACACACCAGTTCAGCATCACCCACCAACAATCTGTCTTGGGTGCAGGATGGGGGAAACACTCCTTTCCAATGGTCAATGTGCACAGACAGGCAGTCACTGACCAAAAGGTTCTCAGAGGTTAAAAGCAATTTTCAAAATAAATAAATTTCATTTATTTCTAAGAAAATAAATTTAAAAAGCCAAACACTTAGCTCATGTGCTAGGGAGGTGGCTGGGTTGGTAAATGCTTGTTATGGAAGCATGTGGACTTGAGTTCACATCCTCAGTACCCACATAAAAATGGGGCGCGGACGCATACACCTCCTGCAGCCCCAGAGCCAGGAGAGGCAGGAGGATCTCCACAGTTTGTTAGCCAGCAAGCTAACCAAAATCATGAGCTCTAAGTTCCGTGAAAGACCCAGTCTCAAGAAATAAAGTGGGCAGCACTAGGGGAGGACACTCACGGTCAATCTCTGATGGCCATGTGTGCACATACTGGCGTGTACATACATGCGTGAGCTACTATCAGTACACACCACACACCCCCACACCCCACAGAGCTTTCCAAGCTATAAAGATGTGAGACTGTTTTTTAACTTAATAAAGATGCCAGTGTTGCCTTATTTTTTTTTTTTTTTTTTTTTTTTTTTTTTTTTTTTTTTTTGGTTTTCCGAGACAGGGTTTCTCTTGTGTAGCTTTGCGCCTTTCCTAGATCTCACTTGGTAGCCCAGGCTGGCCTCGAACTCACAGAGATCCGCCTGCCTCTGCCTCCCGAGTGCTGGGATTAAAGGCGTGCGCCACCACCGCCCGGCACGATTTTCCTTGTTTTAACTTTAATAAGCAAGTAAGAAGCAAAACAACAGCCGTGAGGGGAGGGGAAGGACAGCCACAGGAGTTACATATCCACAAACATGAAAGCAGATGACTGGCAGCGCCTCTGTTCTCTTCACCGAGAAGAGGGGCCAAGAAAGCAGTGGAGACAGCAGCCACCACTGAGGGCAGGCTACCTGTGGGCCGGAAGAGGGGCTCTGCAGCTCTGAGTCACACTCGGCCTCACTTCTGCCTCCCTCTTCACGAGGGAGCTAAGATCCCACCATTCAGAACTGGAGTTTCACATGCTGGTGCTGACTGAGTTTTTTAAGGCAGTTGTTACAGCTGTGGAAGCAACAGAAGTGTGGCAGGAAAGGAGCTGTCTGTAGTGTGACTTCCCAGAGGGTTAACCTGGACTTACAAAGACAGTAAATATAGTCAATCTCGCTACAAAAATCAAAAAACAAAAGGAAGAGACCACTTTAGAGACACAGAGGTAAACGTCACAGGTCCATGGAGTGACAACTATTTTTTTTTTTTAATCCTTTAAATTGACCCTCTGGGCTCTTTCCAGTCATTTCCAAACTCAGGACCAACATTAGACAGACAAAGCCATGCTGGACCTTTCTTTAGTCGGGGAAAGTACACTCCAAAAATCCTGCGGCAAGTCTGATTCGTAGCTCCCAATAAAACAGGCCCCAAACGTCTTTTGATTTACTGACTGAGCTGGAAACTGGAATCCTCCACTACAGAGTGGTAACAGGAAAAAAAACAGCTCCATTCTGAAGACTAAAGGTAAATTTGCAAAGTGGGCCTTGATTTAACATATTAATGAAATTAATGGGGACAATGAAACGGAATTCAATTATGGATTAGCAAAGAATATGTTCTTTGTTTATTGTCTGACTGTGTTAAGAAGAATAAGTATATCGTTTATAAATCATTAAAATAAAAATGCTCAATTAATCCTACTTTATACGTAAAGGCCTGACAGAACCAAGTCCTAGCATGAGACCTTTACTTCACAAATCGAAACAATAATGGTTTCAGAAGGCGTCACACTCTATGAGCAGACAATTGGGGAGATTTAGTAAATCCCACTTTATAGAGCAGAGACTAATCGGAAAACAGAAGCCAGTCAAATGTTTCTTATGAACTGTTGACACTCTATCAATGCTGAATCAATTGGTGGCATTTACTCTGAGTGACAGAAAAGAAATAAATATTTATATCACATAACCTATATCAATGAACCCAGGCAGAAAGCTATTTCTAACCTGTCAATATTTGATTATCTTGAAGAATCATGTCCCTTTCTGTTAATGATTAATATGAATTCCTTATGAAATCTAAGTGGAGGCTAGTGGAAAGGCAAATCATTATTAATGCTTGAAAGCTTAAACCACTAAAATAAAACTACACTCAAGTGTTCAAGTATCGTTAAATGTGACTTACATCTTCCATATCCAATGGTGTCAGCGTTCAGCCCTGCGATTTACCGACGCCCACACCATCTGCATTACTTCACCACAAAGCACTCTCGCCCTCAGTCCGTCACTCCCCGGCACCAAGAGAGGACTTAGTACAAGTCGGTGTTTTGAAAGCACACGGAGGGGCAGCACTCCCACCTCCCATTGTTATTTATTTATTTATTTTTGAGCAAAAGTAAGCATAAGATAAGCTTATCTTTAAAAATAAAAAAGAAACTGCCACACTGTTTACTGTGGGGCTAGCATATCCCCAAGAGAAAGCAATAAACAATATTTAAGTGTCAAAACCATTGCCGAGCCAATCTCCCACTGCGGAGACCCTCATAACTGACCCTACTATGATATTTGTGGGGCTGTGTTTTTTGTCAAAACATTAGGGGCATTTCAGAATGCTGGTGTGTGTGTGTGTGTGTGTGTGTGTGCTGTGAAAAGGAAGTGGTTTTCATTTTGGAAAGAAGACTGTATGACAGGCTATTTTCCATTGCCTAGGTTGAATAAATGTAGTTAAAACTTCTTAATTTATGTCTATTTTGAAATATATTTTCCAGCTGAAGAACACGAGTGACTTGTACATAAATTACAATTAGTAATGAAAATGCAAGCACGCTGAAGATATATAAACGCCTGGGCACAGCACTCTGGTTTTTGTTCATGCTGGATCTGCACACATATCAGGTGCAGACCTTGCTCTAAACCAATCCAAGGCAAAAGTAGTAAGCAAATGCAATCTAACATTTGGAGGCTGAGGGTGTGGCTCTGGCGTAGAATGTGCGAGGCGCCGGGTTTGGCCCCTAGCATAGTCTATCTCAGAATTTGAGACTACTAGGATTAGACAGACACACAAACGCCACCAAGCTAGATTCTCTTCCACTGTATGTAAAGCATTTAATGACTAGAGTTTAAGCCACACTGGCTGAGAGGCTGTGAGAACCAGATCAACTCAATTTTTTGTAGCTATTCAAAAGACTGTGTGCCAAACTTGCAGAAGTACTTCTGCACGTGACACACACACACAATGTCACAGGTGGTATTAGGGGACAAGTGTGAGGATCCCGCTTTGTCCTCTTGACACGCTCCACTACAAGCCCTTGATTCACGAAATGGCAACAAGGCTTGGAGAGGTCGGTGTGCGGAGTCGGCACTGAATAAGCATCGGAGATAATTAAGATCTCAGCCTTCGGAACACGGGCGGAAGTGGAGAGCAGTTAGGAAAATCAATAAGAGTCTTTCATTTGCAGTGACACAGATGTCTCGGTCAATAGAGCCTAATAGGCAGGCTTGATCGCAACGGACAGGCGCTGCCTGCAAGGCCATCAAAGGGTCTGCGCAGTAACACACATTAAAACGCATTTATGTTGCTGCTGAGGAATTGCAGCCCCTGTAGGTAGCTTCATTTACCAGTGAATGTTTAAAAGCACTATACTTTTTCAGAAGTGTCCATTTACTTGAATCAAAATTAGTGAAAAATAAGTGGCCTGTGGGCCCGTTTGTCCTTCCTGGCCGGGGTAGGTCATTCAGTTTCAGATGGCCCTTCAAGGTTCCCTGAAGCCCAGGGACTCGTGTGCCACAGTCTGCCCAGCCTGGCTTCAGTCCCCACAAAAGCTAGTGCTGGTCTCTGGACAGAAGAGGAGCTAAGGCTGGAATGTAACCGTCTTCCCCCTTTGTCCCCAAAGATAATGAAGGAAACAGTCACTTCAGAACACAGGGCCCCGTCAACAACCCGCGGGTTGATGACTTGTCCAGAACTGATTAACTTTTTTAAACTGAGGTGGCAGCGGGGGGTGTGCACAGTGCCTCAATCTGCTGGGAGTGAAACCCATTAGCTCAGGTTGGAAACCATGCTGCAGATTGCTCTGCCAATCAAATTAGGCTGTGGCGTTCATTTATGACAAGAAGAAGCGCGCACTCTTCATCACTTAATACTTAGTATGGCTACACTCTGGACAGTAACAGAGTACTATTCTGATGTTCAGTCTGCAGCAATACTTACCTGGCCATTGGCCAGTATCTTTTTCAGTTCAGCCGAGGACTTCTTCAAGCTGCAAAGAGAAGAAGACACTGTCGGCGGCAAGGTCACCAGCTCTCGACGCCACTGCAGATCTAGACCGGGGCTGAGGATGCGGCTCAGGCGGCAGACTACTCGCCCGCATGCACCAGGCCCTGCACTGACCCTCAAAAAGAGGGAAACAGAGAGAGCTGGCACACACCTATAATCCCAAGAAGCAAGCGGGGCAACAGTTCAAGATCATCCTCAGCTACATAAGAAGTGTGAGGCCAGCCTAGGCTGTATAAGAACTTGACTAATAATAATAAATCTTGACTAAAATATGCCTTTGTTTGAGGCATAGACTATGCTCCCTTTCCCTGTATATGGTTTTTGCTGTTGTTTTTAAGAATGCCAAAGGAATCAAGGAGGAGTGAAGCCCCATGAGTCTAGGAAGCGGACTATGTAGCTATCCACATGATTTCTGGTCTTCACACCTGATACACAGAACACTGAACACGTGCACCCTGGGACTATTCTCCAGCAGCAAAGATTACAGAACTCTAAGCTACAGACGGATTACACTCAGGTCTCTTACTACAGATAGGAGTTATTACTCACTCGGCTTCCTGGAAACAGATACACAGTAGCCATTGTCAGCAGCTCCCTTGGAATGTCAATTCCTCTCTCTATAAAATAGGCAGCATATCCGCATTATCGGTAACCAGCCAAATGAAACATTACCAAACAGCACTGTCTTGTACACCACAGGCTGCCTTCTCTTTTCTTTGCTTTTCTAGGAAATGCAGCTTCCATGATTATTTAGTGATTATTAAAATGTCCTCTGAACATATATGGCTATTTGCAACCTGGTAAGACAGAGTGCATCACAGGCCCTGGCCTCAGTACTTAGAACAGTGGGGCCTGGTGTCATGCTAAAGTTTGTTGAGGGCATGCTCTCCACAGAGATTGTGGGATACCCACCTCCTTTGTTTGCCTTTCTCTACTTCCCTCACCAGGAAGTGGCCAGTTCCACATGGTCCCACTATGGAATGCTGCCCTAGCATCAGGCAGAAATCAGTGGGACCTAACTGTGCATTGAAACTGTCTATACTGTGGACCACAATTAACCTTTCTTCTTTATTAGCTGATTACCTCAGGCATTTTTTCCGTAGCAGAAGGTAACACATCATGTAAACATTTCTGCAGATAAATTTAGACAAAGTGCTTAAGAAAGAGGGATGGCTGTATGAAGTTCTCAAGGTTTCTAACAGGTTAAACCTCTACACAACCACCCCACTAAGGAACAAGGGGTATAAAATGGCACCTCCCAGGCTGGAAAGAAAGCTCAGTGGTTAAGAGCACTGGCTGCTCTTTCAAGGTAACCGGGTTTGGTTCCCAGCACCCACATGGTGGTTCACAACCATCTGAAACTTCAGTTCTAGGAGCTCTGACACCCTCTTCTGGCCTCTGCAGGCTCTGCATGAACATGATGCACAGACTTATCACACATGAGGTCCAAACACTTGCACACAAACAAATAAATAGTCTTTAAAAAAAACAAAACCCTACTATTCTCTTTGAAATGTAGAGCTGACCAGCTAGCTCCATCATCAACTGCCCACACTATGCTTCCTGCCAGATAAACTCCCCCTTCTGGTTTTTACCAGTGTGGATCTTCCTCTACACTCTTGTCTGAGACTGGAAGCTCCCTGAGAACAGAGACCTCAAATCATTCTAGTATGCTCCGCCCCCTCCTTGCCCCTGAACAGCAGGCGCTAAATGTTCAAGAAATGGTGGTCAACATTACTCTGTGACAGGTGTAGTGGTAACAGGGAAAGACATAAAGGTCTAAATATACCAGGAAGCAAACTGGATCAGGACCTAACCTGAACCACATTGGTATTCCACCTGACACTTTTAGTACATAAAACTGGAGATGACCTCAGACCTCAAGCTAGGCCTTCAGTTGATAATCATTCTCTCACCATTCCTTAAAATTCTTCTGTGGTCCAACACAGACTACTAGGCCTCAGTTCTTGCTTTTTGTTTGTTTGTTTGTTTGTTTGTTTGTTTTCTCGAGACAGAGTTTCTCTGTGTAGTTTTGGTGCTTGTCCTGGATCTTGTTCTGTAGACCAGGCTGGCCTTGAACTCGCAGAGATCCGCCTGGCTCTGTTTCCCGAGTGCTAGGATTAAAGGTGTGCGCCACCACCGCCTAGCCAGTTCCTGCTCTTTAAAAACCGTCTAAGATACACCTTCACCTAAGGATTCTAGGCTAATAATGTCCTCCAGAGTGCAATCAGCTAGGGAAATAGTCGAGAATTTTGTAGGCTGGAACAAAAGCTACAGCATATACCAAAAAAATGAGCAGCTGCCTCAAAACCAGTCCAATTACCAACATGGTCATGGCAGTCCCACTTAGAGTGCTGAGCAATGCCAGGCACCGCCGCAGGGCTACGGCACATTCTCCCGAGTTAGCCCTCAGGAACTTACAGAGATCTTGTCCAAATTCAGATTATCACTTCCACTTACACACACTTGTCTGAGAAATATTTAAATCTCTGGGGGTTTTATTTATTTATTTATTTATTTATTTATTTATTTATTTATTTATTTATTTATTATTTGTTTGGTTTTCTGAGACAGGGTTTCTCTGTGTAGCTTTGCGCCTTTCCTGGATCTCGCTCTGTAGACCAGGCTG